CAGTTTGGCTCGTTGTCCTGATGGACCAACTCAATCGCTGGTTCCTCCACAGTCCGATAGAAAATTAACCATTTTCAAACTTAAATGCAATTACTTCAAGGTCCAAGTATAAGTTACAGTTGAAAAGGTTTGGCTAGTCTCAGTGAAAGAATGCTCTTTGCCCAGTACAAAGTTTTATAGGTGAAGACTTCTGAGTTTCTGCAAAATGGACAAAAGGCCAGAAGACTAATTAGTCAGGTTAATCTTCACATTCTTGGTAATAAGTGCATAATGTCATAGTTATGCTAATTAAGCAAGACTCAATGTTGATTACTTAAAGACACTTTGATGGAAGACGTGGCTGATGTTGAATCTGTCCTTTGAAGATCAAACACTTACTAATTCCATGCAATTCACACCATCAAATCAGGGTATTAGTAGTAGGTACACAGCACATGTTTGTGATTTCCAATGAAATTAAACACTGAGGGTGGTGTATTGTTTTGTTTTAAATTGGTCTTTCTCATTCAGACACCACTCAATTATTTATGCATTTTGCTATGTATCTACTACATCATAAGCTGTAAGATGAATGATGACATGACACATAAGCTCTCAGTTCAGAGAAATATCAGTGGGTATAATGCCAGCTCTCCTAAGATTGCGATTCAGTGTTGGTAAGAGCAGTTTCCATGAGACTTTGCTGAAACACTAAGAGGAAAACAAGAAACTGTTAAATATCAAATGCAACCGAGGGAGATGATGTTGAATGTGGTAGAGGTGTCCCCTCTTTCCTCTGGGGGCTAAGTTCCAAGACCCCCGACAGACACCTGAAACCACAGATAGGATTAGTCTCTCTACGGATTGTTTTCTTCTATACACGCAGATCGATGAGAAAGTTAACAAAATTAACCGATAAATAATGAGGGAGAATGCTTATGGCAATGTATTATAACCAAAGTTTATTTTAAATATAAATCGTTTATTTCTGGAATTTTCCACTTAGTATTTGTGGACTGTAGTAGATCATGGGTAAGCAAGCTTGAGGACCAAGAGGACTCCTATGTAATAAAAATTAACAATGAGCCGAGCCAGTCCTTAATCTTTCCTACACCATTGTAGGAAAGCAAATATCCCACTTAGATTTGACTATATTCATACACATCTTCACTCTTGGATTGCTTCTCTTTCAGCATTAAAGTTCAGGCGTCAAAACATTACCTGTCTGCTGCCTAACAATCTAAGTACAAAATTCTTCCCCTCCTTTTTGCTTTCTCTTGGCCTGCTCCTTCCACAGTCTCCTTCCTTTCTCCTTTATTTTTATTTTATAGTCATATAAGACTTAGCAGCTACAAAAAAAAAAAAAAAAAAAAAAAAAAAATAGAAAGTTCTTACACAAACAACCAC